TGAATAATTCAAAAAGCATTTTACTTGTTTTGAAATAATAACATTAAATTTTATATAACATAGATCAATATTTCAAATATATTATATATATTTTTATTATTATATAACTTTATTTATAAAATAAATAGTAATTAATTAAAGAAAATAATATTTGATATTATACATAATAATATTTATATGCTTCACAAAATCGTTAAATTTTTGTTAGAAATTAAAATTGAAACAAATTTTTTATCTATTATATTAATTATTTATCTATTAAATATAGTCGATGTGAAAATGCTGATTTAATTTTTTAACTTCGGCGTTTGTAATAATTGTAATTTTGATTTAAATTGCTCATAAACATATATTTTATTGACTTTTCGAAATTGAAAAAAATATTTGTGTATGATGATCTTAACAAACATTGTAAAATATTACAGGCCAACGAAAAAGGTATAAATAATTATACAAATTTTTATCAGTCACAAATTTAAAAGTTGCTAAAAATGTAATTAACTTTTTAAATTATTAAAATAAATTATATTTTTTTTAAAATGTATAGAAAGTTTTGCTTCTCAATACCAACAGTATTTTATTTATATTGATATCCTTTACAATTGTTACCTCTTCCTTGTTGTTTTTGTTAAATTTCTATAAATTTTTGCAACAATTTTGCAATTTGTTTGTGAGCATCCGAGTGCAATAATAATAATTGTGTTCTTGAAAGATAACACGATAATTAACACGTTTTTCCTTACAATTAGAATTAGAAATCGATTGAAACTCTACAAGATTTCAAGATCGAATTATAAAAGTATATAAATATATATCTGGTTATTAAAACATTTTCTAAGAATCAGTATTCAAAACGTTTTTAACACCTAAGTAAATTAGTATATATATATTTTATAATATTTACTAAATTAATAAGCAAAACGACCCGATCTTTAACAAATACTCTTATTTTAAACTGCATTTAAAAAAGTATAAAAATGCCATTACAATTTTTAACTTCCCGCAGGAAATTAAAGTAATCGTCCAAAAATAAGAAATGAAAATGAATTAGTATATATATTTTATAATTTTTACTAAAATTAATAAGCAAAACGACCGATCTTTAACAAATACTCTTATTTTAAACTGCATTTAAAAAAGTATAAAAATGCCATTACAATTTTTAACTTCCCGCAGAAAATTATAGTAATCGTCCAAAAATAGGAAATGAAGAATTGATTAAGTTTTTGCAAAGACAGAACTAGCGGTTTCCAGAAAAAAATTGAAAAAAAAAAAGCCATTTGTCGGTCAATATAAATCAGATATTTTTTCTAGTAATAAAAATACATATGATATATTTAAAATATTATTTATTTATTATGCACGTCTTTGGCATTAACGAATACATATATAAATCTTTTCTTAAGTAGAAAAATAAACAACTAGGATACTATATATATTTATATATATAATAAAAAAACAGTATTTAATCCAAAATTACACCTTACAATATTCATGGTCGATCTGGCCGTTAAATTATACAAAAACCTTCAATATAACTCACATTAGTTTGCTGTACTATATATAGAATATAATAACAAAATTTGTCTTTAATAATAATAAGTAGTTGCAAATTCATCTGGTATGAAACAAAACGAATTTAATTTTTTTCTCCACAAAATCTTATCTCATTTCATTATAACAAATAATATTTTACAAACAGAAAACTAAATACTAATTATACATTCTTCTTAAAAAATAAAAATCTCACGTTACAAACTAATAATATCAAATGAAAATCAACACAATGTTTAAACTAATACTTACATTAGTAACATTACTCTTATTGCTCCAAAACAAATGTACAAATAATATTTATTCTAATTATAAACATAACTAAAGTTCGAAAATAGAACTATTTATTCTATTTTGAAAATAGAACTTTGCATCCGCCGTTTTTACTATACGAATTCTTTACAATAAAAGCGGAAGCAAAATTGTATGTTTTCAAATGCAATTTTAAAGTATACCGAGTTGCTGTATGGCTTAATGATGTTAGACAATATTGTTAAATGTTTAATTTTAAATAAATTCGCCAAATGCATCATTCATATTAAACTAATGGATATAAAGTTATGGGCATTTCTACTACATTAGTACAAAACTATAAGTATCAAGACATACAACTTTGCTTCCGCCGTTTTTACTATGCGAGTTCTTTCTAATAAAGGCGGAAGCAAAGTTGTATGTTTTAAAATGCATTTTGAAGTATACCGAGTTGCTGTAGGACAAAATGATGTTAGACAATATTGTTAAATATTTAATTTTAAAGAAAATCATCAAATACATAATTTAAATCAAAACAATAGTTTAGAAGTTACAAGCGATAAAGTAAAAATATGCACCAAGTATACTTAAATCCAAAGCAAGATTTCGCTACAAACACTATGCAAAAAATCTTTGAAAACCTTCAGTTTGTATGGAAACTAGTATACTTCATGCTCACATTATTTTTGTCATTTCAACTACGATTTTAAAGTATACAGAGTTGCTGTAGGTCCCTATAATATTACACAATATTATCAATCATTTGATTTTGAATAATTTTACCAGATATCATTCACATTAATCGAATGGTAATAAATTAAATAATATTTTTCCAATAAGTTTTGCTGAATCTCGTTTCATTCAACTACATTCTTCTAGTATTCAACAGTTTACTTTTTAACAATTTTAAATCAGAATTTAATTCATGAATCTAAAATTATATTTTTATAATTGGTAAATGTTGTAATAAATCACCAAACAAAATAAATGCAATAAATAAAATTTAATACAAAAAGAAAAGTAGAAAAATAAAAATGAAAGTAATTTTTACAATTCTACATTAAACTAAATTTAATTCTAAGTGTAATGGTAAAAATTATATTTATACATTTGATTTGGAACTTAACACATTTATATATATATATATATATATATATATATATAAAAAAAAATTTCAATTATCTCTTTATAATTGGTAAATGTTGTAACAAATTACCAAACAAATTAAATGCAACAAATAAAATTTAATACAAAAGAAAATGAAGTATAATAAAAATGAAAGTAATTTTTACAATTTTACATTAAACTAAATTTAATTCTAAGTGTAATGGTAAAAATTATATTTATACATTTGATTTCGAACTTAACACATTTATATATATACATATATATATATATATATATATATATACACAATATACTCATAATATAAATTTTCATAGATCATAGGTCATTAAAGTTTATACCTGATTGGTATAAATTATTATAATTTTCTTTGTCAATATTTAATTTTAGTCTAATACAATCAATAATTAAACTTAATAATATAACTCTTATTAACACAAACATTAAAATATCTATTTTAATTCTAATAAATTTTTATTTAGGTCATAATTTTTCTTGTGCATGCATGGAAGCCCTAAAAAACAGGGTTATCGAATAAACAAAACCGTTTTATCGAATTTATTTGTAATATAAAAATATTTGTATACCTTGTGCGTATAAATTTTGTTTATATCAAATATAAAAATATATATTTATAGGAAAACTTAATACTTCTGTAATAAGAAGTTTATTATATATTCGAATATTAACAAACAAATTTATTATTCAAAATAAACTTCAATTTGTTTTCTTTATTTATTGGTAATTACCTTTACCAATTTATATATATATATATATATATATATATATATATATATATGTTTTAGTTTAAAATTCGGGCGTAACATCAATAAAAATAGTATGAGAGTTTTTTAAAAGTTTATTTATTTAAAATCGATACGTTTCGGCTAGCATTTTAGCCATCATTAAGTGGTAATTAAATTAACTATAAAAATTGAAACTAAATAAGTTATATGTAAGAAATTTCATAGAAAATCAATAATAATAATAATAATAATAATAATAATAATAAAGCACTTACAATTTTGTATCTGTATCTTGCTATATTAGCATATAGCATATATAAAATTTCTTACATAATATGACTTATTTAGTTTCAATTTTTATAGTTAATTTAATTACCACTGAATGATGGCTAAGATGCTAGCCGAAACGTATCGATTTTAAATAAATAAACTTTTAAAAAACTCTCATACTATTTTTATTGATGTTACGCCCAAATTTTAAACTCAAATTAAACATATATACCAACATCAAATTCAAGACTATCCAATATATATATATATATATATATATATATATATATATATATATAATATATATATATACATTTTTGAATTTCTTCGCTCCCAAGGGCTCAAATGCTTCCAAATTAATCAAAAAAAAATCATCCAAAAGTTTTAGCTCTTAATTATAACATTTAGATAGTCCACAATCCAATCAAAACTTTTGTATATTTATTATTAACATATGCCAATAAGTAAATTCTTGGCAATTTTGATCAATAAAATAAATATTACTATCATCAATAAAATAAATATTTTGCTGCAAAATTAATTTTGATGCCATGATGAATAAATACTTTGTTAAACAGTCTAAATGGATTTAATTAGAGGTTAAGTGTTTTATAAATATTTTTGACAAATGTTTATAAATGCTTTATAAACAAGTTTATAAATTTATTTAATAATTAATAGACGAAACTTTTAATCGAATTGCGGACTATCTAAATGTTAATATTAAAAGCTAAAACTTTTAGAGAATTTTTTTTTATCACTTTGGAAGCATTTGAGCCCTTGGAAGCAAAGAAATTCGAAAAAGTCCATATTAAGGACCAACTAAAGTATATATATACATACAGGATGTTCCGAATAAAAATTTGACCACAAGAAATCTAGCCCTAAAACTTAGAGCTTTGCTCAAACTGTGACCAGTTATTTATTTTTATTTGTAACAAAGCTTTTAATTGAATTGCAGATTATCTAAATGTTAATATTAAGAGCTAAAACTTTAAGAGAATTATCTTTTATCTTGGGAGCAAAGAAATTCAAAAATGTCCATCCCAATCAATTTCTATCTACGAATCTTCATTCAAAATAATCTCAATCGAGTTTTTACAATCGCTAATGATTTCTGCATCAGCACCATAGTCGGTGGATGCAATCTGATGCAATAAGACTTCCAAAGTGTTATCACTCACATTGTTTTTATGTCCTGGTAAATTGTTGTTATCGTAACCACTGCTGTTGTTGTTTGTATAGTTTTTGTTGCTGGCATAAGTGTCGTACCAAAGGTGCATCCATAAAAATTGCTGAAGTTGTGACCGGGGAATCTCACGAGCCAGACTGATTACTTCTGATGGTCTTTGGAGTAGTAGAGCTGGATAATAAATAGTGTATAAGTAAATAAAATTTAAATAGTCAATCCTTGTTAACTTCCCGTAGAGTAGTTATAGTAATGAGCCGAAAATCGAAAATGAAAATTTTTGCATTTCTCCACGTTTTGAAGGTTTCTGAACATTTTTTAAGGGACATACTTCAGAAACTAAATGAATGTGTGTTTGTGTATGTTTTATATGTCCGCATTTTTTCGTCCACGTTTTCGGACGCACGGATCAACCGATTTGAATGGTTTAAAAAACATTCGATTCCTATTAATAGGGAGATGTGCTGATTAGTTTTTGGCAAAGGCAGGTCCAGTCGTTACGGAGATACGGAGCAAAGAGTGCAGAAAATAGACATCGAGTTTTTGAATCCAATTTGTATGATCCAAAAAACATTCAACATTCAGTTCGTAATGACAAGGTTATTAGTTTTTGGCAAAGGGAGGCCCAGCGGTTTCGGAGATACAGAGCTAAATGTTTAAAAAAAAGCAGTTTTTGAGAGAAATAAGCGTCCGATTTAAATGATGCAAAAAACTTTCTGCTTATTTCAACATAATAATTGCTTTAAAAAAAATTTTTGTTTCTATTTTTTTTTTCAAAAAATATTTTTGTAATTTTTTGTAAGCGCAGTCTAAGCGCCACTCTGGTACAAATGTTTACCCAAGTGCGTTTAGACTGCTTATGTACAGGAGCACTTTTCCAATTTTGTGAAAACTATTGAAAAATGTGAAAATGTCGCCAAGCTAAGCACAGTATAATTGAAAAAGTCGCACAGAATTATTTGCAAATGCGGTTAGACTGTGACTATGCGGGAGCACTTTTTCGAATTTTGTGTAAATTAGGCTACTTAGATATTTTTTTGAACTTGAATTCGAAATGAAATGTACGATGAAGGAGTAAAGTTTTAGATTTTTTTTATAAATTTTGTGTTTGTGTTGAGTGTTGTAATTTTAATATGTTATACATCAATATGTCTACAATAATAACAAATATTAAAATTGATAGGTTTTCTTGAAAATTTTAAAGATATTTATAATTATACGAAAAAAGTACACGAAAGTCTTATAATTAGACCAGAATACTCATAAACCAAAGTAGATACTGTTGTATTTTTTTAAAAATACTATTGTTTATTGTAAAATGTTCAAATTTTAGTATATTTTACTTTATTATATATACTATAAGAGCAAATACTAAAATTGATAAGTCCTCTTGAAAATTTTTAAATTATTTACAATTTTATGAGTAAAACTAGTGGGGTGGGTGGCATCGTGCCTTAAGGCAAATTGCTGGAACTTCCCGTACCGTAACGAAATGTTCGAGGAATACTGAATGTTTTCAAATAGATTATTATAAATATTGTAACATTGTCTAATATTTATAAATATTATATAAACTGAATTGCAGAGTTAAAATTATTTGTAAAGTATATTAGAACTATAGTCAGAATTAAAAATAAATATTTTCGATATACAAAAAACTAAAAAAAAAAAAAAAAAAAAAAAAAAAAAAAAAAAAGAAAATGAAAAAATTTTTTTTTCCAAAATCGATTATTTTGTTAAGACAAGCAGAAAGTTCTTTGAATCATTTAAATCGGACGCTTAGTTCTTTCAAAAACTGCCATTTTTTACATATTTAGCTCCGTATCTTCAAAATGGTTGGGCCTGCCTTTGCCAAAAACTAATAAACACTTCTCCCAATCATTACTAATTGAATGTTTTTTAGATCATTCAAATCGGATACTCCGTTCTCTCAAAAATACGATTTCTATTTTCTGCACTCTTGGCTCCGTATCTCCGAAACGGCTGGACCTGCCTTTGCCAAAAACTAATCAGCTCTTTTCCCTATCAATAGGAATCGAATGTTTTTTGAACCATTCAAATCGGTTGATCCGTGCGCCCTAAAACGTGACTGGAAATTTGTATCCACACATACATACACACACACACACACACACACACACACACACATCCATTTTTTCTGAGGTATGCCAAAACGTTCAGAAACCTTCAAAACGTCGAGAAATGTAAAAATTTTCAATTCCGATTTTCGGCCCATTACAATAACTTACCCTACGGGAAGTTAATACTAGTTTATGTATGTATTTTGATGTGATGCAACGGAGGAGTAAAGTTTAATTATTTTTTTTTAATATTTATGTTTGTTGTAGAATGTTGTAATTTTAGTATATTATACTTCAATATATCTATAATAAAAACAAATACTAAAATTGATAAGTTTTCTTAAAAAGTTTTAAGATATGTATAATTACATAAAAAAGTACAAGAAAACCTTCGACAAAAATACTCAAAAACTAAAGTAGATACGTAGTAATTTTTTTAAAAATACTTTCATTTGTTCTATGCTATTGTAATGTTCTGGAAATAAATTGATTTATGATTTATGATTTACATTTGATTTGCTCAGATATAACAAACAAGATAGCAAAAATAATTAACCTTACAGTATTTGTTATTAAAGTTTAAAATTTCTCGAATATTTCATTACGGTACGGGAAGTTCGAGCAATTTGCCTTAAGGCACGATGCCATACACCACTAGTTACTTACTTATAATATCAGCAAGTGGATTATCCTTCATCTCCACCTTCCTGATCATGTCCAAAGTCTTGACAGCATTCATATTCAAATCGGATCTCATCAGATTACTGGCAACAGTCGACGTGACTCCGTTTCCCAGAACCAGGAACGAACCCTGGGACACTTTTTGTTTGATTAAAGTCTGCAAATCTCCCGTCAAGTCTTTTTGGGACCTCGATCTGGACGGTCTTGGTTTCGAAGAAGGTTTTGGAGACTGATTAGGAGTCGGTGGTTTGGTGTCAAGAGTTGGTTTGGTGTCAGAATCAGAAATCTGCGTGTTTGGTGGTGGTTCGTTGGATAGTTGATCACCGTCAATTTCCATTTTAACTTCAGTTTTAATAGAGGCATTATCGGAATCAACTTTGATGTCGCCGTCTTGTACGTGATTTAATATAACACTACTCTCCTCCTTGATTTCAGTTTTAACTTCTTCACTTTTAATTTTACCATCCTCAACAAGTCCATTTTCGTTTTGGAAGTTCAATCGTTTACAACTATCAACACTATTGCTGCTATCGGAATTTTTTCTTTTTTTATTCGCGTTAAATGCAAACGTATTGTTATTTGTTTCGTTCTCCTGCACTTTTGCTAAAAGTTTTTTAATGTTGGATTTATTTTGCTCGTTGTTAATAATTTTTGATTTGTTGTCCTCAGTGTTAGGCTCTTCTTTGGTATACGAACATTGTTGGTTGTATCTTAAGGGCTGGTAAAAGTATTTGATTTTTTTGTCCTGGGAAATAAATAGTAAGGTGAAAACGTAAATTCATGGAAAATTAATATATTTGATGAAAAAGCCGAAAATTGTGCGGGACAGGGGGTGTATATTAATCTCGTGAGGATTTTAGAGAAAGGCGGGGGAGGTTGATAAAAAATCGCGGGAGGGAGGGGCCTAGTAAGATATAATGTGTATTTATTTTTTACCTGAATTTTGAAATTAATTAAATTCAAAAAATTCGTTCGGAAAATTTTCCGTAACTAAAAATACACATGATAATATAAATAAAGTGTGAAACATTCAAAAAAAAAAGAAGACTATAATAAGGAGACGTCCATGGGCTTGTCAGTGGTTAAGATATCACGTGTATTTATTTTTACCTGATTTTTTTTTAATCCAAACATTTTCAAAAAAAAATTAAAAAAATACTTTTTTTTCGTAACTAAAATTACACCTGATGATTGGCAGAGGGAGGTAATTTAAATGATTACAAAAATCCTTAAAAAATCGATTACGATTAATGGACGCCCCCTAATTTGTTGTGTAATCGAAAGAAATGAAAAATGATTACAAAACTAATACAAAATTAGAGTTTGTGGTAAGAATGTGAAAATTTAGGGTTGTGTAATAAAAAAAATAGTCCAAATATATATAAAATATAAATGTTATTACAAAAATAGATTCTTTTTGAACAAACATTTCACCTTTACCATGACGTCAGAATTTTTTTTTTATAACTAAACTAAGATTTTAAATTTTTTATTTGATTTTATATTTTAAAAATGATTTGATTACTGAAATGACTATTACAAAATTGAGTTTTATGATAAAAAAAATTTAGGGTTGTATGTGTTTTTAAAATTTTAATTATAAAATATTAAAATCAATGGTTTAAAAAAATTAGAAGTATTAAGAGCGGATAACTCTTGAACAAAAAATAAAAAACAAGTTTTGAGGTAAAATTTAAGTTTTTCAATTGAAATAAAGCAAATTGGTTAAAAAATGAAGATAATTGGTAGTGAATTGATTCTGAAAATTTGGGGCTGTATGCATATTTAAATCCCTCATTATAAAAAAAATTAAAACAAATGAAAATTGGTTTAAAAAAATAGGAAAAGTATTAGGGGCAGACAACACTTGATGTAAAAAAAACAAGTTTTGAAGTAAAATTTAAGGTTTTCAAATGAAATGAAGAAAATTGGTTGAAAAAATCAGAGAAATTGTTAGGAAAAGTTAACAAAATAATATTGCCTAAAATGTTTTAAAGGAAAATTTAAGGTTTTCACTTTTCGGTAAGCTCACAACAGTATTAATGCAAATTCCTTGAAAAAAAAATCACTGATTGAAATCGGTATGAAAATTGTTTCAATTAATTATATAAGAAGAGTAAAAATTTATTTTCAATAAATTTATATTAAATCTTTCATTATAAGAAACTTGAAATAAAGAAAATTGATAAAAAAATGATAGACTTCTTGGGACAGAAGTATTAAGTTTTTCTAAAAATAAATATATTTATGTTTGATATAAACAAAATTAGGGGAAGACACATACTTAATAAAAAAAAGTTTTATGGAAAAATTTAAGATTTTTCCATAAGCTCACAAAAATATTAATACAAATTCATTGAAAAAAATTACTGATTGAAAGCAGGATGAAAATTGATTCTCAAATGGTTGTAGTAAGAGGGTGAAAATGTAGGAATGTATGCATATTGGAATCCCTAATTATAAAATACTTGAAATTAAGAAAATTGGTTTAAAAAACCAATGACAATACTTGATAAAAAAAACAATTTTTGAAGCAAAATTTGAGCTTTTCCATAATAATAATGCAAAATCCTTGGAAAAAATCACTTATTGAAAGTAGGGTGAAAAATGATTCAATTAACTGTAGTAGGACGGTGAAAATTTAGGATTGTAAGCATATTTAAAAATTTCTTTCATGTTTTTAAAGCTTTTCACGAGTTCAAAATAATCTTGGTCCTAAAATTCGTTGAAAAAAAAATACTGACTGAAATCGGGGTGAAAATTGATTTAATTAATTGTAGTAGGAAGGTGAAAATTTAGGAATGTGTACATATATGTTTTTAGAAAAATTAAAAAAGTATTAGAAGACAACGCTTAATAAGTAGTAACATTTTTCATAGTTAAATAAAATAAAAGAAATAAAAAGTTCAATAAATAAAATTCGATAAAATCTTAACATTCATTAACTGAGGGTTGGTTGAAAATTATTCAATTGACGATTACTAAATAGGGGTTTGTGGTAGGAAAGTAAAAATTCAGGGTTGTATTGGTATTTTATTAAGCATTATGAATAATCTTATATAGCTCAAGAAAATCTTAATCAAAATTTAGTTAAAAAAATATTTCCTGTCAAAAAACTGTATGTGGTATGAGAGTGAAAATTTAGGACTGTATGTGTTTTAATAATATATATATTTGTAATATTTTTGTAGCCCAATCGTCGAATTAAAAAAAGATTAAATAACAAAATTATTTAGTCCATTAAACGTTTCGACACTTGATGTGTGTCATCATTCAGTAATCAAATCAGGAAAAACAACAGAAAAAAATAATTATGATGTAAAATTGATTGAACACTAAATTTGTGTAAAATAATAATATACTATTATATTAACAAACGAGAAATTGAAGGAGCACATATTGCCTTCCTATATTTTATGTTATTATTAAAGCTAAAAATAGCTTGTAACCTTGATCAGTGTCCATAATGCACCGCTATTAATAACATAAATAATTTTGTTATTTAATCTTTTTTTAATTTGATGATTGGGCTGCAAAAATATTTACAATTTGTACAAATCTACAACTATTATCAGACAACATTTAAACGCACAACTAATTTACCTTCTTAATCCTGTTGAATAGTTGATTCCTTTCTTTAATTTATGATGAGCATGGTTAATTAATTAAAAAAATGTATTAACGTCAACATTATTAAAATAAAAAACTAATATTCCTAAAGTTTAGTACAAAAAATTACAGTAAGCCATTTGGCTGCAATTTTATTTCAATGATAATATCTTTGAATGATTTTTCGTACTCATTTTTGCAATAATTTGATTATTAGTAAAACATTGAAATTTTATTATTTAAAATTTTATTATTTAAAAAACGATAAGCAAAAATTACTTAATAATATTTATGACGAAAAAGCTAATTCATTCTTAATAGTTAATCTGTATTGAACATTTTATATGCACAAAAATTTATTTTTCTTCTATTTTTTTAAAGTCTTGGATTTAGCAAAAGAAACTATATTATTACTCAATTGAAATCAACTTGTACTTCAGTATTTCATAATTATGCATTTTAATTTTCACTTATTTTTTACCTTTAACTCTATCAGGCCAGCGATAGGGACAACAGCACCTTTCAAACCCGAAGACCAAACTTCTAATATCACAACTGTATTGAAACCTCCTAAAATTTCATTCGACAAAACATTTTGTATATGCTTTGCTGCAACTTCCCTGCAGGCTGCATAAACTTGCCGAAATGCATAAGGTTTCAAACCTAAGGAAAAAACAGAAACACAATTAATAAAAATAATATTAATAATAATGTAGTATTATAAATCTTTTATCATCTACCCATGAAAAACATATCAATTAGTAAAAATAATATTAATAATAATGTATTTTCTCACTAATAATTCAATATACATTATTACTTAAGTTTATATTTGAAGTGAATTAATTTGTCAAATCCTGTTCACATGTGCTCTATTCAACCTACGATCAACAAAATTATTGCAGTAAATGGAGAGGAAAAAAGCGTGTGCCCTGTGAATTTTTTTACTGTGCTCCAATTTGCTTGATATTTTGGAACTATGATAATCTTAATCTTAAGTTCAGAAGTGAAAACAATTTGCACTCCTTCCCAACCCCCGGCATTAATTGGATTATATTATTATAAATCTTTTATCATCTACCCATGAAAAACATATCAATAAATAAAAATAATATAAATAATAATGTATTATTATAAATCATTTATCATTTACCCATGTTTTGAGCGAGCTCTTCAGGATCATAATTCCCGCACCACCCTTGCATGGCTCTCAAAACAATCGGCAATACAAATTTCATTCCTTTAAAAAACGATTCTTCGCGGATGCTTTTACGTTTTTTGCATTTTGTACAAGACCATTGGTATTTATCGACGACTCTGGCTGATGTCCAGGACATTCGGGTGCCTTCACAGGAATCTGTAGCACATCTGAAAATGATAAGAGACAAATATTGAGATTCAAAATTTTACAACAATTAGTTTTTTACTTACTTCATGGAACTTTTCAATACTCCGATGTCTTTAAGATATTGGCACAATTCACCTTCGTGGCCCTTTGATAACATTGGTAACAGATCTCGCTTAAAGTATCCATCAGTACTGAAATTTGTGAAAATAAATTCATATTAAGACGTACAACTTTGCATCCGCCGATCTTATTATACGACTTCTTTACAATAATGGCGGAAACAAAGTTGTATGCTTTAAAATGCGTTTTTAAGTACACCGAGTTGCTTTAGAGCCCTATGATGTTAGACAATATTGTTAATTGTTTAATTTTAAACAAATTTGCCGAAGACATCATTCATATTAAACGAATGGTTTAGAAGTTATAGGCATTTCTATTACATTAGTACGACACTTTAAAAGTATTACGACGTACAACTTTGCGTCCGCCGATATTATTATACGACTTCTTTACAATAAAGGCGCAGGCAAAGTTGTATGTTTTTAAATGCGTTTTAAAGTATACCGAGTTGCTATAGAGCAAAATAATATTAGACAACATTGTTGATTATTTAATTTTGTATAAATTCACCAAATACATCATTCATATTTAACGAATAGTTTAGAAGTTACAAGCAATAAAGTAAAAATACGTACTAGGAATACTAAGTTCCAAAGCAAGATGTCAATACAAACACTATGTAGAAAATCTTTGAAAACCTTCAGTTTGTTTGGAAATTAGTATGCCTGATGCAGAGATTATTTATTAAGTTTCCATTGCGTTTTTAGAGTATACCGAGTTGCTGTAGAGTCATTTATTATTAGAAACATTTGTATATTATTTAATTTTAAACAAATTCGCCGAATATATCATTCGTATTAAACAAATAGTTTTCGAATTATAGGCATATATAATACATTAGTACGTACAACTTTGCTCTCGCCGGTTTTACTAAGCGAGTTCTTTACAATAAAGGCGAAAGCAAAGTTGTATGTTTTCAAATGAGATTTTAAAGTATACCGAGTTGTTAGAAGATATCATAATGTTAGTAAAGATTCCAGATTGTTTAATTTTGTACAAGTTTGCCTCACGCCTCAACAATATTAATCGAATGGTTTGAGATTTATGAAAGATTGAAGAAATAAATGTACTATGAACGCGCTGAGATTAATTTTGTGTTTATAATTTAGACTTTAAAGTATACCGAGTTGCCGTAAGGTGATATAATGTTAGACAACATCGTTATTTATTTAATTTTAAACAAATTTGTAGAATACATCATTCATTTTAAACGAATGGTTTAGAAGTTATATGCAATAAAATGAAAATATCTTCTAGGCATAATGAATCTTATACTTCAAATAATTACTTTATTCAATTGCGTTTTTTAAATATACCAAGTTGCTTTAGAGTTGTTTATTGTTAGAAACGTTTGAAAATCGATTAATTTTGAACAAATTCGCCGAATACATCATTCATATTAAACAAATGGTTTTAGAATTATAAGCATATATTACATTAGTGCAACAGTTTGAGTATCTAGTGTACAACTTTGCTTCCGCCGTTTTTACTATACGAATTCTTTCTAATAAAGGCGGAAACAAAGTTGTATACTTTCAAATGCGTTTTAAAGTATACCGAGTTGGTGTAGAGCGTCAAAATATTAGACAACATTATTAAATATTTAATTTTAAACAAAATCGCCGAATACATAAATTAAATCAAAATAATAGTTTAGAAGTTACAAGCGATTAACTAAAAATATGTACTAGGTATACCGAATTCCAAAGCAAGATTTCACTACAATCACTATGTAGAAAATCTCTGAAAACCTTCAGTTTGTTTGAAAACTAGTATACTTTATACTCAAATTATTTATGTACTTTATTTCAATTGCGTTTTTTAAACATACCGAGTTGCTTTAGAGTCCTTTATTGTAAGAAACGATTGTAGATTGATTAATTTTGAACAAATTCGCCGAATACATCATTCATATTAAACAAATAGTTTTT